CTACACATACGAATAAATTAAAAAGCCATAGGCTTTGGAATCTTCCTTTAAAAGCTTAAAGAAACCTATATTACCTTATCGATAGTCAACGAAGGCTTCAAAGTAATATGAATATAACGTTCTAAAAGTCCCATAGTGTTATGGGAAAGAGGTTTCATTCACAGTGACATCAATGTCATATTATATAAACACATTTAAGTACAAAATGTTAACTTGGAAACGAAAAAGAAAATTATGATCCAGAGATTATTGTGAATAAAATTTATTTTTAACAAGAAAAATTCGATAAACATTAGTGAGAAATATTTACTAAAAGGAATCAGAATATTAACTATTAGAATAAGCGGATAGTTCCTTATCTTTGATTAAACTTTTCTACCTAGCTGTTGTTTCAAATATATGCAAAAGATAAGCTATAGTTTGTCACTGAAATCTCCAACGTCTTTGTAGTATGGTATAATGATTACAATGTTAGTTGATTAGTATCAAAAACAAATTTCTAATTTGTAACGAAATCGAGTAGGATAAGGAAATTGTCATATTACTTTCTAAAGATTCTCACTTATTAAACGTTTTCAAGACTTGTGTGGTAGAACTAAGCAATGGCTTTTTTTTAAAAAATTCATGTTCACAGTTTAATTTATTGTCGATGTATTTCATTTCTTCATCTCAGTGATAATGCCCTGATTTTATTTGACCTAAAAAATTCTTTTAGTCAGAACTGTGAGATCTCAAATGCTTAATTTTGAGAGTAAACATTCTCGAATTAACTTTATTACACACATCATGTCTGTTTAGATTAATTAGTAGATTCATTACACAAACTCCAGAAATTTTATGCTCTGAAGACAAGCTACTTTTAAGTAGTATAAACGTAGCTGCTTGGTAAAAATAAGTCTGATGTGGCCTATTCAAAATACTGTTGAATTTCCAAGATATATGCTTAACTATGTTTTTTATTCGTACGTCAATTATTGAGTTTGTTTAAATAGTAACTCACTAAATAGTAGGATATTTCTGTTTGTATAATATATATATATGCGATAAAAGTGAACAAAGAATTTCACGAATGAACAACCTTACGAGATCATTGAAGTGAATGACTAGAAATTTAGTACTAATCCTGTATACATTTTGCACTGAAACTTTCTTTTAGTCATTAGAAATTAATGCTTAGTTTAGTATTTATTGATGGACACTGATTTAAGGCATTATGATGCCACCAAACTATCCTCCTCTTATTATTAAATATTATACTGATCAGTTATGTTCCCAATAAATTCTTAGCGATTTCTGTTAATTAAATGGTTTTTAAATTTGTAACGTCAAAGGCATGCGTTGGAGAGACTCAGTAGGAGTTACACGGTCATTCCAACAACCACATTAGGAAGAACTTTTAAATCCAGCCTAGTGACGAATAATTCAAGAGTATATTTTTGGAAAAACTAGAGAAACAGTCAATCAATCGTAAAGGTGATGTTCACACCAAAGTAGGACGTGATATCCAAATGACTGTGAAAAAAACAATGATATCTACAAGTTAGCCAAACTCAAATGTTAGGAAATATTTGTCAGTTTCGGTGGCTTCTGCTGATTTAATAGATGCAAGAAAACTCATTTTAGACGATTGAATTAATTGGGGAATAGTTCAACTGATTTGTAGATCTTCAGTTATTTACTATTCCAGGACTACCAGAATGGGAGATGGAAATAAGCCCTTCACAATGACTCTTAACAAAGTTGGAAATTTCAGAGCCAATCTAGAGTGAGTAAGAACAGGACTTGAAGAATGAATTTTGAGGACCTTCAATAATGATAGCCAGGTTTTATTAATTAGACTAACTGAGGTATTAACTAAAGTTTGGAAACTGCACGTAAACCAATCCGATTTGTTTGGTTAGCTGATGGTCCCAGTTTATGAGAAAGGATAGAAACTCTCTTGTAATAACCACAGAGGAATCACTGACCGGTACGGAACGGGGGAAACTGGCCTCAACAGTTATCTGAGGCTAAAATAGGGCTGATTATCGTAACCTTTGGTTGGAGAATTTGAGTGGTATGGCTCAGAAGTAGTCTCAGTATGATAGATACATTCACTCTTTATTTTAGATAGAGTTCTAGAAATTTTTTATACGTTCTTCTTATCATGGATACTTTCTTTCTGCTCCAAATATATTCTCTGCGTCAAATGGGATTTTATGATCTTTAATAATACTAACGATTCTATTACTCTGCTATCTGTCTTAATAATTTTATCTCGGTGAGTAGACCAACTTGAACAGATCCACAAGTGTTCCCGGTTCTACACTTCTTATGACTGACCCCTGATTGAATTTATATAAACCAAGAACTATCATATAATGAATTCGAGAAAGAGTTCAAGTGACTGCTTAATTTCATACTGAACAAGAGTACTAAAGTAAACCGAAATAGTTGAGAACTGATAAATGATGTTGGAATTTAGAAAAGTGATATTATCACTCACTTTATTTACAAAATGAAATGGAATTAAGATACACTGACTGTTTTTTCACTTATTCATTTTTCGACATACTAATTATTTTAGTACTAATAATGTCACACCTAGAGCGAATTTGAAAATAGCTTCAATCTAGGAATGACATCAACAGAAATGGAAAATAACAAGACTATAATTCTTACCCCAGCTTTGAAACTCCATTATGTACACTAACCTCACAATGAATAGAATCATTCTTCGGTAAGTACTGAGTCAGAATACAGTAGAATTAAATAATGATCACCCCATATTATGAATTAAATGAGGTTGGATTATGACTAACCACATTACTAAATTAGAAAATGTCCCGTGAACATTGCATGCTACTGAGATCTTTCACGCAGGATTTATTCATGAAATATATGGAGGTTACAATTTGACAGGTGGCTGAACACAAAATATGGTCACCGATTGCCCTAAAAAATATACTTTTTCTAATGTAGAAAGCTATCTCAAGCAAAATTCAATGATTTTGTAGAACGTAACTGGATTCCTACTTAGAAATAGTATTGCGCTAGCTATGATACTGGAAGGTTGTTTACAATTTTGTATGATTAACAAAGCGGTGTCCAAAACGAAGCGAAAATATTGACATGAAAATATCTCCAGTTGATGTTTCTATTCATAATAAGGGATAATCAGCAGATACAAGGAAGTGAAGACTTTATATTAAGTCGCTTATTAGCAAGTTCATAAAAATTGGTTCAGATAAGGGTAGAAAGTCGGAACTCTTCAGCACTCAATTCTGTAAATAGCTCAACAACAAAACAAGTCAACCAGTGAGTCATGCACAATTTTTAAATCACTACGTCATATCTTCGCAACAAGATGAAATTATTCGGACAAATCTCAGTAGCAGTAAATTCCGTACCAATACTAGTACTAGAAAAGATTTGACATATAAAATGATTCAAGAACGAATTCGTGGAACAGAAATGAAGTATAAGATAGCTTCAGAACTCTGAGGGAAGATAAAATGTAAATGCATGTCATCGCAGCCGATTTTGAGACGTCACACATTGTATCCAATGTTTTGTTTCAACGACTGCGTCCATCCCAACCAAGTAATTTAAACCTAATAACGTAGCTCAATCCACCAACCAATCATTTCATGAACTAATACCGCATCATGGTCTACACGGTCCTAGCTTTTGTCTATCCTACTTCTACAATATCAAATGTCGCGCATCCAGTCAAGCGATTATTGGGCATCCAAAATAAATGTCTCAATTGGTGGAAATCCGCTAGCTCGTCGTGTGATTGACCATATTTACCTAATAACATTTGTCTTATTTCAGGATTACTCATTTGACGGTCCCAACATATACGAGTAACGGTTGTGAGACATCATTGATCAAATTCTAGTAACCTAAAAATCTGTATTATTAAAAACTACGTTTTACACCAATGAGGTAAAACAGCAGGACAGGATGCATACACTCATTATTACTTTCAACACTCGTAAGTTAATGTCACAGACTAAGTGACTTTGTGAATACTATTCAACAACTACATTAGATGATAACCATATAGAGGTATCCGTTATTTGAGCCCCTACAATAGCAGGGGAGAGAATATAGCAAACAGAATGACAAGTTATAATAATGAGAAGTGCATTTACCAATTAACAAATCGTATTAGTATAGATAAATAATCTTTCTAGATAGAATATCAACAAATATATATATATATATATATATATATATATATATATATATATATATATATATATATATATATATATATATATATGCATAAAAAGAAACGGAAGATGAAAACGCAGAAAAACTAATCTGCTATTAAAACTGAAAAATAGAACGAATAACATTTTTTCCTTGATAAAGTTGTTCCTAAACGTATAGTAAATTGACCACAATATTTAACAGTGTGAATATAGTTACATTTAGCGATAAGTGCGACATACTTATATGTGCTGATTGTTATTGATGGTAATATGTATATATTGAAAAGAAAATTATATATGCGAAACTTGTGGTTAAAAAAAGAACAAAGAGTTAAGCTACTGACATAAACATCAGTAATATATCTATATATGTACACATGTTAGATGTAATGGTGCACAGAATACAACAGATAACCGGGATTAGAGGGAAATAATGAAGGAAAATCTGTGTACTAAGAACACATACATATGCCTGCGTAAAAGAACGCCTAAACAACTTTGACAGAGTTGGTTGTGAAAACCACAACTATTCACAAAGTTCCCGAAAACAAGAAAAACAGCGAGTAACATTTGGAAAATTAGTTATTTACCAAAATGGAAAGTATTTACAGTAAAATCTGTGCTGGCATGTATACTAACGAAGATATTAGAAATAACATTGTAAGTGCCATTTATACAAATGTGGCGCGTGAAACAGTGAGAAAACGAGAACAATGTATAAATCAAATATTCATGGGCAGCTAATAATCATTACAATAATAATAATAATAATAACAAATATTCATAAAAAAAGTTTAACTATTTAGAAATAACATCAACTTCAGAAGTAGTCAGTGAAGTATTACTATTACTGGTGATCGTTTCATCTAGTCTACTCTCTGTTACTGTTGTAATTGTAGTATGATTAGGTAATGATAATAAATCAGTAACGCCTGATGATGGGACCATTGTAACTGTAGTATTCTCCCCTTGATTTTCTGCAGTGTCAGCCCCTAAAGTGACTGAGACAGTTTTTATACCGGAATTGGTAGAACCTTGCATTGATACTGTTGTTGTAGATTCTGTCGAATTGTGTGATCCATTATTTGGTGTATATCGTTGAATATCACTGCGTAAAAGTTCCATTAGAAGAGAATTAGTTGATAAATAAGAAGATAGATCCAAATCAACAAGCATCAAACGAGCAGCCTGACTTGTTTTGCGTAGTTCAGGAATTCGATTGATCAATTTGTTAAACTTATCATTTATATCAGGTGACGACTTGGTGACATAATCCATTAGTAATCGTCGAACAGATTCTTGATAGGATCGAACTTGAGAACTTGCTTTTAAATTATTCAAATCTGATTTTTCAAAATAGTCAAAATATATGTTTAGTTGTAAACCAGTTAGCATATCAGAAACGCTTAACTTAGAAATAATGTACACTTCTGTCATTAAAGTTCAAGTTATTAAACTACACTTGTCTAAAATCACTAATCGCTATTTATTTGTGTTTATAACATAACCGTTAGATAATTTTCCATTATAATCAATCTATAATTGTTTTAACAGGAATTTAATGGTTATAAACTGGCTGTAATGTTAATCTAAAAGTTATTTGCTTACCCATTGTTGTAGTAGGCTAAATATTCTCAGTGTACATCGTAATCAGTTATAGTTTCTTATTAAATAGAGTTCACACTTTCTTCAGAAATGTTCGTCCGATATTTTTCCTTTAAGCATGAGATGTGTCACGAAAGAGTCGTCAATAAATTTTATCTGAAGAGGTTGACATCAGTATAGTTTATCAAGCCATCATATGGGAACTGCAATTCACATGCTTTGGTTTACGTTAGTACACCATGTTAGCACAGCGAGATAAAACTGTCGAGTCAAATCCTGAACATGGACACTACCTTGACGTGGTGATCGTGCTTGCCTATCATGACGAACAATCGAGCAATATTAGTTGTAACGTTTATTCCTTAAAGTCCTACCATTCAGGAAGACTATAAATAGCAACTTAAGGCCTCAGAACGAAGTCATACTGTTGATCGTACTTGAAAGTACATTATTGTTCAATATTTTGTACCGTCCGTCCCAAAATAAACGACTGATTGATCTCTTCTACTCAGTTTAGAAAATGCAACATTACAAACAGTAGTTGAAATGTCAGCCGTTGCATATAACATTACATCATATATACTAGATAATATCTTCCACAATTTCAACATATAAGATTAACCTTGAACAGCCTTCTAATCTAACATTGTTGAGATAACTAAAACAACTGAATAGGAAAAATAAGTGTTTCTTTTGATGAAGTTGAAACTACACAAAATGAAGAATTATCGATAGAAATTCGATCAAATTAAAAACCTTTCGAAGTGAATACAAATGTGAATTGCTAAAAGATTTCATTCAATGAGCCTACTATATCATTAGGTTCCAAAAAGAAAAAAAACAGGACTGATTTACATTCCATTACTTTGAACGTAAAATAAAAAAGAACCCACCTGGTTGCATGAGCACAATGACCTTTAAACATGCATATTCCACAATATCCAGTTGTAATCTTGTTAAAGATTGAGTGAGTTGTAAAATTCTCTCAACTATTTCTTCAGCACCCATTTCACGTGCAGCTTCAAGATTGATACATTTACTTGAGGTGAGACGAATTTCCTAGGAATAATACATTTATTTACAGAATAATAATAGGCTACATTGATAACATTAAAATCACAGTTGACACAATACTCGTACGGTCTACTAGATTAAATAAATAAAATATGTTCAAATTGTTAAAGTAATTAATATTTTGAAAGGAACGACGAAAATATGTGTTAAATGGCTGATCATCTAAACTATTGAAGTGTTTTTTTCTCTTTTGAAATCATAATATAGAATCGAGTACTCAAAACCGATTGCTAACCGTTAGGATTAGAATAATTTTTCTAATTTGTCCAAAAATTTATCGATCCGGGAAATTAAGTCGCTTTAAAACAGTTCAATTGTTTAAAGGAAAACCAACAAGAGAGAGAAAATATTTTATACAAACCAAAAGACAGTGAAAAAATGAGCACATTGATACAAAATATTGAGTTTTGTGAAAGTATGAGTAATTCCACCCTACAAATACACAAATTTTTTTCGATATTTTACATCTTAAAGAATAAATAATAAAGCAACAACATACATAAACAAGTAATTATTTAAGAATTGTACCAAAATGTTTAAGCCCTCTAGTCAAGTAAGTTGTGTTTGGTGAATATCTTCTGATAGATCAAATGTAACATACTGAATCCTGTTTTAATTCAAGATGTATTACACCAAACAAACATCTAGTAAAACCACTTCACGAAAATAGTTATCATTTTTAGTATATTATAGAATGAATTGAACTATTTAACCTGAGAACTCATCAGATAATAACTCTGTTTATGTTACCTTACATATTTATTATGACTGCATTACTGAAGTGTAATGCTACGAAAGCCAAATAACCAGTCAATCGAATGGGATTTGCAGTGGTATCACAAGACATAGAATCAATGATTGACGATATACGCACACAAAGAAATTTAAATACTTACCGAAGGAGTGGGCAAAGAGCGCCAGCAACAATCAAGACACAGTAAGTCTGCCCAACAGTTTTGTATTAAAAGTATTTGATCATCTGTGTCGAGTATAGAAAAGTCTGGAAGTGCTCGAGACCAACGTACTGTTCGATATAAACGTTGGTCTGCCAAATTCAACAGTGCGCGGTACACAGCTGCCTCGTCATCTGAAACCCCCTCAGGTGCTGCAGTTTCTGATGCAACCGCAGCATCGATTTCTAGTGAATCTTCGGGTTCCGCTTCTATGGTCTCCTCCACAAGGAGAATATCCCGAATAATCTAGGGTACATAGGAAATATAAAATGAGTCACTTATAATACAAATTATGGTCTTCTGAAGCAACCCGTGTTAACAGAAACAAACGACATCTTAATAACTATCTGTTATTCCCCTAACACATTGTTTTTATTAGCATCTTCATTATTGTACGATATGATCTATTTTACGCTTTGAAGAGAGGATTTTTGGTTGAAAAAATGATACTAATGATGGCTTTGTTAGGTGGTTGGAAGGAGCCGACAGATAACCCTGGACCTAAGTTTCGTGCTAGCTAATATTCGTCAGCAAGCAATACCTTAAAATCTCGAGGGAATCCAGTTTCAAGGCCTGAAAGTCAACTACCCTCAACCACTTAACTATGTGGCTAACAGCATCAACGCAGGAATTCACACAAAAGATATCTATGAGAAAGCTAATGGTATGAAATTGTGATAGAGCTAGTGACACAATGCAACAACAAATGACGATTAGCCCAACTCAGATACAACAAAATAATGTGATTGTCTTCAAGTAATAGAACAAATAGCATATAAAGGCAAAACAGAAACCTACCTTTGGGAGTTGTTCTCTAGTACGTGGAATCGACTCGTTTGAACCACCGATAATTACCTGTCTACCTAAATACGGCGAAACATTTGTTGAGAAATTAGTACCACCGACAATTCCACTTCCACATTCTAAAATGTTTGGTTCAACACGTAGACTACCAGAATCTATTTCTTCATCATCATTATCATGAGTACCGAGAACACCAGGATCCAGATAAACACCACCACCCGCGTCTTCTGAAGCTGGCAAACCATCAGGGCCTAAAGTATGCGCAGCAAGTCCGACAACAGAGCAAGAAAGTTGATCCGCATCATCTGACATAATACTTTGATCCGTCAATCCACGTAGCATACTCCCATCGAGATCTGAAGTTGAAAATTCCATAGCTGAATTAGAGAGGCCCAGACCAGGAGCAGAGTGAGTCCCACTAACCCGTGCTGCAATCTGACGCAGATAACGTGAACCAGGATACATGCTACGTCCACCACGTGTACGATCCGAACGAATAGCTATGCGAGGAATTCATGATTTACAAAGCAAAAAGTTATCTAGCATACTGAATGTTAATATTTTTAGATACACCGAAAATAAGCAAATACTTTACTATTTTACATGTAGGAAAATTAGATTAGAAACTCCTGAACATCTTGGATAAAGAACTTAGAACATCTGGTATTAGGAATAGTTTGAGTCGACATACAATTGTAGCTGTTACCTTGACGCAGTGGTTTTGATAGTTCAGTTGAACTATATTGACTAGGATAAGTTAGTTGGTAAGTGATATGAACAAAACCAGTAAATTTTAGGTCTCGTGATGGTGCCTAAATAATGACTGTACAGTAGATTTGATAGTAGTAAGGCGTCTATCACAGCCAACAAGTACGTCTGATAGTTTCGTTCTCTCAGAAAAAGTTGAATCAAAGAAAGTAGGATATTGATCTATTAATTTCCGATGCCCAGAGTAAAGGTTAAAATTTATAGGGTGAACACTAACGGACAGTAAATATTCTGAAAAAGATTGTATTTGAAAGAATTCAAACAGCTATATATTGAACTGCTCTGTCACGCCTCTAAGATGATGAGACTATGAACACTAATTCAGTTCCTTTTCCAGGCTTATCAAGAGAAAAGATCATTCTGTAATGCGGTTTAGCCAAGAAGTACTAATTACCCGCACACTGTTAACATTACTTCAATTCACCTTACTAATTATCAACCATTTATTTATAGGGAGTACCAGATTTGGAAAGAGAAAAACACTGATCTAGTGACTTTCAACATTAATTAAAAATTGGACGTAAGTCATACAGATATCGTCGTATCGGATCAATAAAGAATTGTCGCCCACATCAGAACATATTTTGGACTCTGATAATGTTTTCTTGTGAACACGAATGTATTTGCCTTACAGGAAAATTTGAGTTTATCTAAAAAATTATTATGTCGAAAGTACATTCAGGGAAGAACTAGCTAAGGACTTGAAAGTGGAATGGAAGTCTTTATACTGAAGTAGTTTGGTATGATACGTAGTTTGTTACAATAAGTTGGTTGGCAAAATTCAGTAGAAAGCAAGAAAGATACAAAACCTTGATACCTTCATTTGAATTAATAAATATTTGAACTACGTTTTGAAAGGTAAGCTTTTTGTGTAACATTCAGACTAGGCTACTAGGAAGATTGGTGGAGGGTTTTGAAGAGCAGCTAGACTGACTTCCAACTACCCTACAGTTGATATTTATTCATATCATTACGATGTTGAAAACTATACTATCAAATCCAGGTCTATAAAGTAGTGAGCTCCAATAAGTTAACTGTTGAAGTGTTTGAGAGTGGTAGTCTATGATTATCAACTAAACTGAATTCTTAGTTATAGTTTGGGAGTTAGACTTATTTAAACCTAGTTCACTAAACGCTCCAATCTATAAGAAAGAATGGAAATTTCACAGTGATCACTAACATGATTTATAGAATTATATTTGTTATAACCATTCAGTAACTACATGAAGTTTGGTATGAATAATTAAAGCTCGTTCAACGTTTCCAACTATCGACATCTTTAGAAATAGGAAAGATATGTTTACTTATTAAAGGGGGGCTACACTGTACAATAGCCCTATCTGCATTACATTACGAGTATCGAACCAAAGACTCCCGAGAGAAAAGATTAACCTTACAGAACATATTGACTGGTAATATATCAAGTAGTCAGCTCTAATCATCATAGGACCGGGAAAAAGTATGCGTTTTACCAAGCTGTATACAACGGTTGGACAAAACGACATGAGCTAGATTAATTGTGGGGCAGTCGGAATAGTCATGATACCAATGATGATGAGAAAGGTCAAACAATCACATTATAGCTTGAGAATGAAAAAGTTTACACGAAAGAATATCAGAACTGAATATAATGATTGAATTTGCGTAACTACGACCGATTCTGAGCCATTTCACACAACGGCTCCAACCACTGGTCGAGACTATCTCGCAGACCCTAACTAGGTAGATGAATCCACTAAAATGACTCAGATCAACAGTCAATAAATTCATGGACTGAATCAACATTTTGCTTTGACTGCCCCTAGTTTTCTGTCAACTTACGCCTACTACACCAGCCAACACCAGCGTCATGGTAAGTTTTTGGGAGTAAGTAATTCATTTCTTAACCAACTCAGTTGATCAAGATTCACAATCTTACCAGACTGACGCGTTCAAATAATTCATCTCTTACTATTAATTTACATGTTGAGGCTGAACAGTCGTCGAGCAACATTTTACATTTAGGAGATAACGCATGCAAGGCATTCAATAGATACATTTTGCCAGCGTCCTCAACAAATACAACTATGTCGATAGATAAGTCATTAGAATGATCCATCGCTGGAACGTTAGATGAAGTACAGTTTATAAAGGGTCTATGAAAGTAGATCAGTCAATGTACGTTCCATAAATAGATATTATGGTAAAAACCAAAAACGATTAGTAGTAAAATGCTCTGGCAAAGATACATTGTATGGTAATTAGGCAATCTTAATCTACTTTAGACCTACATAGTTCACAGACCAAGATTACCTACCTTCAATACGCATCCCTTTATCTACACATTTTAGAAAGCGACAAGCTGGACATTTCTTGCGTGAAGCTACATTTATTTCACATCGAGAAGAAGCATTAGGGCGATGACAGGCATATCTTTTAGCATTTTGAACAGTCCGTTTGAAGAAGCCTTTGCAGGATTCACAACAAAATATCCCATAATGATAACCAGAGATTTTATCCCCACAGATTGGACAGGGACCCAGTTTCGTGAACTGTTTGACATATTGCTGCCAAGTTGACTCACGCTGAAAACATTAACCAGAAGAGAATGTTGAAAGGAGAGGAGGTTCAGGTATAATAAAACAGGTATTTTGTTAAAACAAGAACTGACCACACTGTGCAGAATAAAACTGAATATTATGGAGACCAATGTGCAACTTATACAAAACTCGTGTTTGAATTAGCGATAATCAGTAATGGATGTAAAACGACTGAATTGTTCAATACAGATTAAAATTTGAGGCGATATCATTTTTATAGATATTATTTATTCTATAACACACAAAAGACTTGATACAACGCAGCTTCAACACGTACGCTACACAAAGTTAAATGACGATATTGTGAAGAAACAGAATGAAGAAAATTATAAAATGATATGGTTTAAGTGAGAACACAACCAAAATATTAACATCACCTATATCGAATGCGCGTCTGCATTTTTATGAAAAATGTGATAGAAATCCTTTTCTCTGTAAATGGGATTAACATTAATCAGTTAAGAGACAAAAATGTAAACTGCTTATGTGCTAAGCATCAATCTTTAAATCTAACAAGCCAAAAACGAATGGTATGGAAACAATATTAATTACAGTGAACAGGCTTGTGAAATAAAATGTATGAAGGACAAAATCACAAATTCAGAAGAATAATAACATATCGTTAGCTACTTTAGGTAACAAAAACAACGATACCTGGGGAGTTCCGGAGGATGAGGACCCAGATACACCTGCATTCGCTGAAATTGTTACCAATCCCATTGAACCTCCTTGACCTTGGGACGATCGTGATCCAACTGTACTCGAAAACAGCTCAATACCAACATTTGACCCAATAAGACGAGTAGAACCTGCACTAGACACCAATCCATTGCCGCCACAAGCAGATACGCCTAATTGTCGTAAAGGAACTAAAGTGGTACCACTACCACTACTTGAACCAGGAACGATTGTACCTGTAGAACCAACGTGAATACTAGTCCCAGCAACTGGTTGTTGTACTAGAATAATACTTCGATCAGTTGAACCTAAATTAACACTGCTTGTGTTAACATTTTGATTATTAATACCTATTCCAGAAGTGCGAAGCATTGTGTGTCCTAGAAACAGAAAATGTATAGTTATTAATTTCATCCCTGTTATTTACAGTTTATGACTGATTGGGTGATTCACAGTGAAGCAACTTATAACGTAACTCAACTTATCGATTTCGAATCCCACATCATCAGCTCTTCATCGCTTTATTTTTTTCTACACCTGTTTTCAGACAGTTTTAAACTTCCACAAATTCTCCAATTGTTACACAATTCATTTTACCAGTTTTCGGACTAAGTGTAATTACTACCTCACTTTTATGTTCCTGAATTTCGTTTTAAAATGACCTCACCTATGATTATATATAGTTATTACTAGTAATCGTTATTATTTCAATTCTCTCCGTCAATAAGGTTTACAACTTCATGTATCTCAATGTTGCACTTTAATACGAATACAGTTGTAAGCAACTGAGGAACTAAAAAATAAAATGAATTTATGTTATAATACCTCCATTGTTGTTTTGACTTTATTCATATTCATAAAAGGAACCAACTGCAAGAAATTATATTGGTAAAATTTCTGTGTGTATTACCAATAATAGATGTAAATATCTGAGACATCATGAAGGTTACTTCGATAGGCGATACTTCATGATGAACCATCTGGTCAAATTAGGAAATCATTCACATCCATCAGAGCAAACCTAGACTTGGAACTTTACAGACTTCAATTAAGACATAACTCAAATACAATTTAATCCAATCATTATAGTAACCTCTGGTAATGAGAATTCTAAGTTCGATTCTCGGTGAGGAAACTAACTGTTATATCCCGATAAGAATAATGAATGGTAATTTTTGGGATCCATTTATGGGTCAATACTATGAGTATATTTTTATCGTATAATTGTCAAATAACTAAACTGTTCATATTCATGTCCCTCTCATAATGAGCTTTTTTTAACCTATGAACTATTATTATACGATCTACCATTCTTGAATTATGCCTTGTTTATTAATTACTACCTCCCTCATTCACAGACACATTTGGCTAATTCTTGTACAATTGTTTCATATTTTATGGTACGTTGCGGTCTGTCTGGTTGATATATAAACCCAGTATGCTTGAAATAAATGATTCATATTGCAGAGGCTAAGATTGATGTTCTGGATTCAAATGGCTGGGCTAGGCGGAAAGCAGGACCAATAAGGACTCTAAGGCTGCGCGCACGTGTTTTATGCGTCACCAGTTCGATCGATAATTCGCTGATCTCTGATTGGCGGTATCGTTGAGTTATACAATAAACAGGGCACACAGGTTCACAAGTTATAACACTAATATTTGAGGTATATAGAACTGATTTTTCAGATAGAAGGAAATGAGCATCTTAAATTCTACTGGTAAACTACTAGCTAATGCAACCAAAAAATTTAAAAAAACTATCACGATGATACAATCTATTAATCTAGGACAACAAGCAAAACAAAACATATCTCAGTTGAACACAATGAAATGATTGGATACTAGTCAACGGTACAAAAAGCCTTCAAATGTAGTTATAGAAGCTAAACGATGCTCCATACAGAAGGAATACTAATAGTAAGGGGTATTTAATTCAAGTATTCGATAGCAAAAGAATAGTTAAGGATTTGGTGAAAATAGGTAAGTATTGTATCTGATGAAAGTAATGTCTGAATAATTATACTCGAAATTAAAAAAAGGCATCTCGTGCAAACATAATATATGCGAATGCGAATCAATTTAAAATTAATTTTCGCCTACCTGCTGTAACAGCACGTATAGGTGTGCTTGCAAACACCTGATTCTCTCCACCACCTGCTAGCTGAGCTGCTGGGACTAGAATGTAAGTAGGTTGTTGCTGGATTTGTTGTCTAGGATTGCTTGACTGGGCTGCGACTGGTTGTTGTGTTGCGACGGTGGGAAATGAAATTATTTGAGTGGTAGAACTAACGAAAGAAGGTATAGTGCGTACAATTTGAACTCCATCGGAACCCGACTAGGAAAGAAAATAAAGTACAAAGCGACATATGTAGTAATATTATACTTCGGTTATTGAGCAAAAAGGTATGTGAAATGATGACAACTAATTGACATTATTTATGCGGTATTCTGAAAACTTGATATGAATAAATTGTAGTTCCGGAACACCGTCTAAAACAGAGAATTTAATTTTGAACTATCCGACAGAAATAATAACACTGGAGTTTTATTGTCTAGCATACCAATCATTCAGATGATATTGAGAAATGAAATGTATTTTCTGACTATACTCAGAGACGATAATTTAGCAGGCAGTCAGAAATAATATACAGACATTGAACGAGTTAACATTACTAAAAAAATATACATTATTACACCAGTTTAAAGCAGTCAAGATTTTGAAATTTGCTTAATAATGATATTCTAAAAAAGAAGCATATAATTCATGTAAAGCTAGCTTCTGGTTTAGAATTATAAGTTTCTACATATAAAATCAAAATATTTAACGAAAACCCGTTATGAGATGACGTACGCTTTTAACTTATGGAGGTAAATTCCGAAGTATCGCGATACTTTAGCTCATATAATACAGAAGTGATGAAAAGTTAGTTTAAATGCGAATATACAAGTCAAAACTAGATGAGACAGGTCTCTGAAAATTAAAAGTGCCCTTTGTCAATAACAAAGAAATTACCAAACCGTGATATAATTTCATGAAAATCCAATCCGATTGCTGTGCGATAAATCAACAAATAGTTTATATTAACTAATATCAGGTTGTCTTATTGTCTCACCGAATTTTACAGATCCAAATGTGATGTAATTAGTAGTATAACTAGCGCGGAGTACTTTGTTTGTGCTAGATGACCACGATATCGACAGAAAACTCTGGTTAGGATTCAACGGTAAGTAATATCTGCTAGGTTGATGAAACGGATGTTCCTAGAAATACTCAAATATCCCTTACCCAGTGCTGCAGTCACAGATGTTAGCATGAAGTGCAAACCAGGGAAAATTAGGCCGGTGTTAAATTTGGACGTTTGTAGATCAAGTATTCACCTTTCATCATGTTTTAGAACATAGACGTGTCTACCGACGTCCGACTGTGGTGTTATTTTTGACCTCCCGGCAGCACTCGACAGCTTATGACAATTTACCAAAGAAACTAGTACCGAAGTGTACAAACTTTGTACAGGCTGTTTACTTGAAAACTACTGGAGTTAAAGCCTACGGTAAACTGTGATTAGAATTAATAATAGCAATTGATGCTCATCAGGACTGTCCACTTTCTCGATTTTTACCTAAAGATTTTGTAAATATTCATTTAGACATAACTCATTGATGCGGCTATTATTACTACTGAGATTTATTTGGATAATTTCACCTTGATGTGAAAATATGACGTGCCGATTTAAACTGATGCCTAAACGTGCTAAATTTTAACACTGTGCATGACTGATTGACTGATAAGTTATCATCAAGTCATCCAGGTCATTGATCTCCCAAAAAATTGAACCATTTATACCATTAGGTTACTCAATAACACCTTTCATGTTTTCTAGTCCTTGGTGAATTTTGGGATCTTACAGAGAATATCAATATTGATCAAAAATATCGGCTATTCGGCAGCGCCAACAATATTCTGATATAGGATTACCATCTATTTATGTTTTCATACAGTTATCTACTAGTGAATGCTCTATAACTGTATAATAGTATATTTTGTGTTCTTGTTTACTTTTAATTTCTTCTATCCAGTGTTTGGGAGTTAAAGTGATTCACAAACTCAAATAGTAGTCGTTGCTCCAGATCAGTTTTAGAAGATCAACTCACGTTAAACGAGTCCAAAGGGCGTATCCAAAATTTTTTTTGGTTTTTTCCCGAGGGTTCAGAGGATTATAAATTGTTTTCAGGCTTTCGCTTATTAAGACTGTGTCGCTTGTATTTTTAAGATCGGCTAGTTGGTTTCCCAACTAGAAATCAGTTTTTGAAAAATCTGGAACAAACATAACTGCTTCCGTGGGTAAGGTTTTGATAAATATGACCAAGGATAGTAACAGTGGATATCCTTGATGAAATCTACTGATGCTAAATTGGTGATGCATCTGCATAGTCACTTACATCACTACAAGTTTGGATAGAGTGCCCTGATTAGTGCAATAACTTTCTTTGGCCATCGCTTTAAAGTCAAAAACGTCCATTGGGCTTTTTGACAAAACGACTGAAATGTTGTCTTTAGATTACGGAGAGAAGTTAGCGGTTGATTAAAATCCGAGTTCTGTAGAAGGCATGGGATCTGTTGGAAAATGTTAGTCAGATTAGTTTTTCTACGATCATCACAAGTTAGTCAGTCACAAGTAAAGTAGGACTTGACATATAAATCGGTTCAGGTCGCCAAAATACATCAATACAATGAGGTAAAGTCAAAAAGATTGATACTAAAGTAGCAGAAATAGTGGTACTATATCTCGTTAAAAATAAGGCACAGAAAATCTGACCGAAACGAAGACATTACCCATGGAATAGAGAGTAAATGATTTTAAAACTTAAGGTCTAGGGAACAGCAAAAAGTGAATGGATCTGTACCATTGTGACCGGTTATGAGACGTTACATATAGTCTCTAGTCATTGGTTACGATAACCGCACCCAACCCAAATAGGAAGTCTGAACCTACTTACATGGATCAATCCAACAACCAAAGGTTTCAGGGACTAACGTCACGTTTTCGATTGTCCACCCCTAACTTTCTACCAACCCATTACTACCTCAGACGTTTTTTTATCACACAAGAATCCCTGCTTTTACTTATTCATTGGGATAAAGGACAATAAAGACAAATATGGTGATGTTCTTTTTTTCACCTGATATCTCGGTTATTCTAATAAGTAACACTCGGTGTGGGGATATGCAGCTAGAACGACTAAATAATGACGATCAACAGTCCATTCCACACTGGGAATCGGATAATTACATGTTAGTCGAAGATAGAATACTTTTATTTATCAAACAACATCAGCCATGAAGGGACGTAAGAAAGATATTATTAGATGGAAAAGATAGTAGTGAAGTTTAGGATTTTAAAAAAAACACGAACTAGAGAACTGGGCTGATATAAAGGGACAGATAATATCTACTACAATTTGACTGATCAAAGACAGAGAAAAACTTTAAATCCGATTTTAGGGTGTATCGTTCCAACATGCTACACTCTATATGGATACACTGGGGAAATTGACAAGAATAGGAGGAGATGAAAGTAACGATATTCATACTGATGGGGAAATTACTATCTTCCCACCTGAAAAGCCATATAGTTTTAAGATCTCAATTCAAAAACTGTAGAATAACCACTGTTTAGCCAGAAAACATCCCGATCTCGAAAATAAGTGGACCAATGTTTACTGTAAATATTACGATGGTGCCTGGAGAAACTTATGTAACATATGAAAACTGGTCGGTCAAAGGAGGCTCACAATTAAAGTCCGAACTTTCGTTCGGTCTTTGCAATTAACTTTACAGCACAACGGGATCTATAGTTTTATGTAGACGATACGGAAAGCAAGCAAATTCTAACATTAAAGAGAAAGATCTTATCACCTAACTGCAAACCGTGTACCCAGTTACACAATGAAAATATAACGCACTTCAAGTTGATAATTAGACACATTTATGACGCTAGTCATACTGCTACAAATATGATTATGGTGCGCACAAAAAAGAGAAGTCTATCCTACTGGCAGATATTTAAAAACGTTTTATAAAAGTTTAGGATGAGTAGATCAAACACCATTGAAGTTGTTCCAATAATTTTACCACAAAAGTGGCGTTTACTACTAATAAGTACAGATAACTCTGAAATATGTTACACGAGTATTGTGATTATTTAACCATAGATTAAACAAACAAGTACTAAACTTTGGCAAAATTATAGCTAATACGTAAACTATTTTGTTATCAAACTTACGCTGCCAACCTGTAAAACACGATGAGGGATGCTGGAAGCTATGGTTTGTATTTGGGATGCCGTACCACTAGATACGGCAGAGTGTTGGAGCGAAGAATTTTCCAATTTTGTTTGAACCCCTTGGTCACCCGACTTACCGCTGAATTTAAGCTGGATTCGCCAGGAATAAAGTCATTAGAAAACATCATTAAGTTAATTACGATAAGACCAAGTAGGAAAAATTAAACAGTAAGATCAACACTTTACAGTCATTCATCGAATAGTCAATTTTCATTATTCAGTACAGATCCTCACATATTCATTGCTTCAACTATTTTATAAACACAAATAACTCAGTAACTTAATTTCAGGATGCATTACAAAATATCATGCTTTAACATGCATCACAGGAGCTGTCAACGTTACCAATAAATGACTTCCAACTTAAATTGAGCGACACTTAATACGAAGGAAATTTGATCACTTCCGAAATTCTGATATCCAAATTAGAATATGCTTTGATCGTGAGTTGGGGTCAGTACACATACGTCCATTCTACTCCACCTACTGTTACAAAGTACACCCAATATTGCTAGTTCAGTCACTGAGGTGCTCTAAATATCATCATTATATTAAAAACCGCAGTAATGATTCATTCGTTTCAGAGTCTGATTGAACCATATTTCGTGGTCAGTTAACCAAATAAGTAAGATGTCTTCATGGTGACCTACCGTCACTTGATAACTCGTCTTACCAATACTTTACTGCTCCACGCCAAAGACAATGACGTACTGGAGAACTTAGCTTGAGTAAAACCATGAATGACCTAGCCGTTTGGTGCAGATCTGAGTCTGTTCTAGTATCTAACAATAGTATCTGTTTCAATTGCAAATCGTCATAATCTATATGGGAAAACTCTGAAAAACGTTGGACTTAAGGTTTTGTAAGGCCTACCATACCTTACCAACTTACGGGAGCCAAGAATGTCAGCGAGTGATACGACTGGAGTTCATGAAGAAAAATAGTATAGCGGACTATGGCTTTAGAATTTTAAATTATACCAAAAATGATCACAGGCAGGTAGAAAGACTACGCAAATAGGACTGGCAGTTATATTCAGATACATAATGATTACGTATAACTACAGATAATAGTGTTATTATGAAGCCACTGCAAGTTTAAGTGGATGACCGAAGAGGAATACAGAAATTACGGCATTAATTAGCAGTAATAGCTCATCATGATGAGCTGACTTACATCTATCACAATCTTGCTATCTTCTCGTAGTTGAATCTGACCAGACTGGGACAAGTGCATGATAAGTTCCTGCAATTTTTGTTGACTCAGAGTTGATCCTTGGGTTCCGTCCGGGAGATGGATTGTAACGTAAGTTGTGGCAGGCACATGATCATCACTAGTAGACACTGATCCCGATGACTTTGGTGCACCTCCCATTATGAGTTTATCCAGAGATACAGTAGCCTCCAAGCTTTCATCCTTTAAATCATCTTGGATGGCTGTTGGACTCGTGACTTCAGACGCTGCCATTCCTTCATTTAACTAGGAACAGAAAGTTACATAAGACCCTTCATTGAATGAGGGAGAATAAGTAGATGCTGTTTAGTCGACATGTACAATCGTAAAAACAGGAATTTTGACATAGCTATCAGCCGCAAGGACGTCAACCCAAGCGACCTTCCAAAATGACCTTCGAAGGTCTTCTGAAGGGCATAGCCTTCAAGGATATAAGGAGTAAGTACGGCGAAAAACCGATAAAAATACGTTATAAATAAAGGAAACACGTCTGTAAGAGACACTTATGCAACACCAACTCACCATAAGACTGAAAAAACAAAAATGGCCGACCAAATACGGCGAAATTCGAATTTTTACTTTGCTGCCGAGGAAATATATTTGGTGTATTAAAAGTATAAGTGATGATATGAAGAACATGATCTTCAATACTGAAGAGCTTTATTGGACTGCATCATAGCATTTTATTAAACATGCACTGCTTTACTCAGCGAGCATCATGAATAATTATCACATGGGTCTAGATGTGTTGGGATAGCTTTCAATGTACAAATGTTAGACATTCTGACTGTTCCTTGGAAATACAAGTTTATTCTAAGAATCTGTCACTGACAAAACACATATTAGTATGGGCATCCAATTTGCTTTGAACTGGGTGACTTTGAGAAATCAGTTTGCATTACTTAAATGACGTGCAAAATGTTAAACTCAGTTTTTCTAACCTTTGGGGTAAAATCTAAATGCGTAATATGAAGTGTCTAAATTCGTGCTCAATACGTTTTGAAGATGATGGTCACTATTGATGGACAGTAAACCTCTTCTAATTTGCTTACTTGGAATTACTATTTTCTACGACATCCAGATAGGTCGTAGTGAGTATTTTATTCACTTATTGTACGTGTCAAATATCTTACTTTCATTCTCATCAATTGAATGAAACATGAAATTTCAGTGATTTTCAAGTTCCCATTTCTTTAGTTTTAATTGCTGTATATCGTCCGACGCGACCCCATATAGTTCTTCGGCTCCAATTTATTGAAGCAAACTCTGTGGAGCTGAAAACATAGCACATTTCAAAAACGTACCAGTCACTAGAAATATTGCTCTCAAGTAGCAAAAGTTGTTTCATTTGATGTTACAAAGGCTGGGAAACATTTCATACAAAAGTCCCATATCAATGAATTTTATTTGCTTCTACTGGAATTCACAACTACATTAAACATATAACTCTGTTGTTACGAATCTCCAACTATATTCAAGCCGCCTTTTCAGCTTTAAACTAGTCAAAGATTGATTTATTTTCAGCAGTCTTCTGAAAATTCTGTCCCGTATCTTGACCTGGGATAGCGATTTCTCCACTAGATCTCACTATCCTTGTTTAAAATTTGGTGTGGTCCATATAGCAGCGTATTGAGAATAACTCAAAAGTTATATAGATACGAAGTTTGTGTGAATCGGTATTTTACACAAGGTTTAAGACGAAATGTCAAGTGACCCGTACGTCTTCATTGTTTGTAGTACTTTTTTCAGTTATTAAAGTATTATTTCAAGGAATAACTATTTTTGATCATTAATAAGTGCTGCTTGCAGTGCTTCATATTCAAGAGACTTAAGTGAGGCATTTCAGTGTATATTGGTGAACAGGCGTTTCGGAAGGTGGATTGAATTTGATAGTGTTGTAAAGGAATTCCAAAAAGTATGGAATAATAATTCTATCCCTTCTCGGACTACCCATACTAATTACATTCACAGTGAAAGTAAAGTGGTGAAGGACATGAGATTTAAATACATGTTTGTAGTGTATCATCACACATTTGGTCATAGACGTAAGCCAAAAGGTCTACAATGAATCAAACCCGTAAGAACTTTAACTAACATATGACCTTTAAGGTCTAAGTTTCTAAACTGCCAATCAAGGTTCCGTGTAAAATTGAACGTTGTGGAATTTCATAATATCATACAACACGCTTCACAATCATCCTTGTATTAGTTCATAGGTGATTTGTGATCCTCAGATGAAAAAGAAAGTTTGAAGCTGCTGATAATGCAATCATTATAAACTGATGAATTAATAGAAAGTATTAAGGATCGAACTGGTAAGCAGGTCACAGCTGCTGATGCGAAGACTATATAAGCTCAACTCATCACGGGTAAGTGTATAGAAGTATATTTCAGGTTGTTATACGCGATTGCAAGTATTTGATAAATTGCCAGACGGTGAACTGAGAGAGTATTCAGAGAGTGGATTTGGAGAACTGCTGAAGAAACGATAATAACCGGTAGATGCTATAAGCACGATGCCCCGCGACGACTACTTCCGTTGACTAACCTACTTACTCTGTTTGCGCGGTTAAAGGCTTTGTTGGAAAAGATGCGTTTCCTTTATATTAAATACGAAAATGATGACTGTTTGTTCATGATTGACTGCGGCAAGCATTATGAAGTGGATGCAAGCGCTTGCGAGTGCTTGCGTCGAACATTTATAAAATGCCGATATTCTTGCCGTCATATTCTGCTGGCATACGTAAGAAGATGAACTCTTACAAGTACGCTTAATCAGTTACGAAACATAAACTGTACAACTCATCATATTCTTAGACAATGCAGATGATGAATGATAGATAATACACATAACTTCCATAATTACACGACAATATCTTTACGCAGACAGAGCGAACAGTACATACAGATTCAGCGAAGCCATAAGATGCACAAACAACTGATTATTGAGAAATATGGTGAACACTTTGTGATAATGGTGGAGAGAAAAGTCGACAATTTTTACTTCAGTATCATCAATTACTAAATAAGACTGCAGTTTCCCAAACAATTATCTTTGTGCACTATTCTTTACAATAAAAGATACGGTTCGGAATATAACTAAGTGTGGAGACGTGACATGTACTGTTTACTATAAAAGCGTCATCGTTGTGTTTTCGACTTCAGTGTATATACAACTTGTAAAGTTGTCTTTCTGCATCTGATGTTATTCTCTCTTTACCAGTGGTAATAATGCATCAATAAACTTTTGCGCAATCTTTATTTTCGTTTTCTTCGTAGTTTTATGAGGAGGCATACTGACACTCTTAACGGATAACTGTTGGTGGAAACTAAAACCAACTTTATGTTTGCTTTATAAGTATACATTTCGTTGAGAAAACTTGTAGTACTGAATACGTTTAGAAGTTTCGCCGAAATGTTGCGTTGTACACATAAGTTTCACCGTTTTGGGACTAGATCTTTTATCGAGTTAGTATTAATACCAAATTAGATTATAATTCTACATAATAACGAGATTTATAATATGAAAGAGTACGTTTGTTTTATATAAGTCTAAATAATTCATCAGATGAATAAATTTGGCAGTAGTCTACATAAAACACAGTTATCGTCAAATTGTAATTTGTTTCTTCATATAATCTTCCATATTCTGAAATTCGCCAAGTTGTTCACCACCATAGACTTAACTATTAGAAAGGTTTGAGCTTTTCAATTAGTTGACAGAAGCCATAATTTACATATCAGAAGACGTATAAATACCTTTTTAGCTTAATACAATTCTGAAAAACAACAAATCAGTCGTCAAATAGACGATTAAACCTCGTTATCTGTATCTGATTCAATAAGTAAATGAAATAGCAGCTAACAGAATGCACCTATAAGTGTCTTAGTTGGTGTAAACAGTGCTCTTCATTTTCTAACCCTTCTAGAATTTCATCTAGTCATTTGGTATTCACAGATAAACTGCAGGCCCCAAACAAACAGATTCAAAAACCTCAATTAGTAATATGAAATCTGAGAAAAATCCAATTACAATGTCCAAAATACTATTGGCATTTCAGTATTTACATACAATAATAAAACACTGGTAAGCACCATTTAGATATTACTCGTCAATATGCGTTAAAATTTTGTTTATAATTTGGTCAGTGACTGAGGATTCTGTTTACAGAAAATGATTCGTAAACCCTAAAACAGACACACCATAAACTAGTATTAACTACGACATGGTTTAGTTACCATACTCAAAACAAACACGCATCGCTTTGTTTATGAAGAATGTGTGACTGATTAATGCGACACTTACAGTAGTGTTATGCACAGTTCCCGTACATCTTCATAAAGCGAGTACAAAATTCCATGAACGTCAATTGTTACTCAGATAATTTTTCTCAGATACGTTACATAATAATATGTCATTTCAGTCGAAAAGGATTATACTTATAATGGTTAAAACTGTTCATGGCTTTACATTGCCAAGTTATATAATATTCATAAATAGTTTAGCGCATAATTGTTTCAACCTACATTTTATAAACAATTACCAACACTCATGTTCATCACTACCATAATCAGGGATGTGAGTCATATGTTAAAGGTTATGGAGCTCACTTTTGAACAAAACTCTGAGTTCGATCTATTTTTGACGTCATAAATGGTGAATTGCGCTTGCCTGAGTTTGCATTGTTAGAAATAACCACATTAGGCTGAATAAACATTCGCCCAGGTTGTGAACAACAAACACATCAAACTACTAATAAACTGGAATAAAAGCTATGTAGCAGGCACAGACATTACGAAAAATGATGTGTGACGAAAAAAATGCTGTTATTAGCTCATAAATAGCGACATCCAAAATTCTCGTCAACATGTAACCTGTACGCGAAAACCCGTGGCATGACTTCTTGACCGTCCTGTGAGGACTTAAGTTCTTTAGTTAAAAGTTATCTGGAAACATCTTCGTAATTTTAAAGCATTTTAACTTATTATTTGTTTACTTCCTTGTTTTGCGTAGGCATCACATTCCCTACTATTCTACATTGGACGTTGAAAAATTTGTATATTTGGAAAAGAGAACTTTGAGCTTCAAATGTTACTTTCCACAGTATGAATGAAAACCTACACAACTACCGGTCTGGCTCCATCTATCGATAAAAAGAAGGTTATCTGCCTGTACAAATGTAAAGGGATATAGACAACCACGATTAGCCAGCACGCGGATTTGTCGAAGTTAGACATTAATACCGTTGGAGACTGGCTTTGTGGTCTAAAAGTCAAGCGTTCAGGTGAGACGGATGGTCCTGGACAAAACTCCCACGTGCGAGGTCGTGAATCTCCGTTGCTGAGTAGTCGTGCATTAGGATGAAACGGTCGTCTGGTGCCTCCATTTTCTCAGTAGTGATCCAACAGTGATCATTTTATTGTTTCAGCGAAACTTTTATTTGATTCCAAATGAATTGTTTTTTTTTATTTTACACTCTTTCCTAATTTACTATGAAGCATTTAAACATCGGTGAGTTTTCATT